TGTATGATGAATATGGCTGGCATGTGGGTAAAGAGCATTAATGGTTTATGCGTTGCCACGGGCGGTGTGAGGAGCTGACAACATACAGCTCTGGGGCCACATAAGCAACAGGAAAAGCTGTTTTAAGCCACGCAAACAGAATCACTTTATTTGCCATACACGGTTAAAAAAAAAAAAAAGAAAGAGAGGAATTTGTTCTCGATTACGGGACAAATGCAAGACACAAGGACAACCGCCGCCGCCGACTGAATGCAAAGGGCTGCAGAAGAAGACACAGTTACTAAGACACCGGTCTAAAGATACGCTTAACCCTGTACAGACAAATATGGGATTTGCATCGATGGTGACATCCACAGTTTTCTGAAAGAATGTTTCCGAGGCCTGGAGAGGTTTCTGCAGCTGAAGTAGGAGGCAGAGGAGAAGGAGGATAGACTAATCTTTCACTGGTTTGGAAGACTGTGTTGTTTAGATCCGTGTTCTGCTTGGATTTCATCAGAAATTCTGACGTGCCAGCGAACCAACGCGATCAAGTTTGTGCGAGTGACTCAGAAGTTTATAGAATTGTGCCACAAAAAGATTCAATAGAGGACAGAAGTGCAGCAGTGCTTAGACTGTCAGTCTATGCTTATAGCTCCAAACATCCGGGTTGTCTTTTTTAAAACCATTTTCGAATGTCAACATTTGCAGGGATTTTTCTTCGGCTAGCTCGTGGCTGGTTCTAGATCGCTGTGTCATGGTGGGCTTGAAGAGATGTTGAGTTGGTGACTTGGGTGGTTGGAAATGCCAATCAGTAACCCAAAGGTTGTTCGTTTCAAATCAAATCAAGTTTATTGTAATTTTGCTGTACATACACAGCAGTACAGACAAGATGAGAGAGCGTTTCTTCAGGATTATTCAACCAGCAAGTTTTGCGGAATGAACGTCTGGGATAAGACACTAAACGTTCACCGTCGTTGTCTCCTGAAGGGGGCGCTGTGTCCATGCGTTCGTACCATTTGCACTTTCTTCTCTCTCGGGTAGCTGCCGGCATCGTCTCCGATCGGACTCCGTGTTGGTGTCGTATGTCCACATCACAACCGATTGCCGCAATTCCAGGCCAGACGCTGCCATGTCTTATTATCCATGGAATTACTGTTTTATTTTTGTATGATTACTGTCTGTTTGTGAAGATTCTCAGTCATCCAGGTCGTGGTTACTCTCGTAGATTATTCACCTTGCTTGAGTTCCTTGAAGACGTTCCACCTCTCATCCGAGAGGCTTCATCAGTTCTGACTGACTAGTTGGGAGTTCCAGACACTTCTATCCTTAAGGAGCCTTTAACACCTGAGTTACAGTTTCAGTTGGGGGTTTGTTGCTCCTCCCCCTCGTAATGTGAGTCGTTAGTGCTCCCCCTGCCACAATGGTTGATCACTGTCAAAAATAAGCAGCATAAACAAAGACCTAACTGAAGCAGAACTAACATTAAGAACATGAATTTGTTCCAATTCAATCCATCCAGCAGGTTATGCGTTTGAGCGTATGATTTTACATGGGGGATGCGACTGTGTGTGCTCAGAAAGCAACCAAAATATCATGGATATGTGTCTATATAACGTCTATGCAACTAAACTGCAATCTCACTTAGATGTTGAAAGTAATGCCCTTTTGTTTTGAAGCAAAAGTGTTTTAGCTGAATGGCTTCCAGTTTGCATAAAGTCTGCAGAAGGAGGATTGAGGGTGAAGTATGCATCACCCACAGGACTTCCACCCTGGATTCTTCTGGATTTTGTTTGTTTTTTATAGGCGGAAACATCATTCTTAGAGTCAAGTTTCATTTGCACTTGATGTTTGATTACGTTTGTGAGGAAAATATCATGGTCGGGGTTCAAACACAACCTCTCCCAACATAGTTTAAGCTGCTCCTCCATTTTATGAGCTACCAGAGCTACATTTATTATAGGATTGGTTGGTTGGAGCAATAAATAAATAGCATAAAATGGTGATCTGAAACATATCCGTGATGCATCAAAAACAAACTACAAAGTGCAAATTTTTATTGCACACAAACACAACCTTCAGCAGACGACTTTGGAGAACTTAGAAACGGTACTGCTCGTTCCGTACTGTTCTCTAGACTTGCTTTTTAATTTCGAGACTGCTGGATTGCTGCGCTGCTAACTGGTAATGATGAGTAACAGCAGATTATGTTAATTTTTGTCAAGCTGTAACTGGAAGGGAGGGAAGAGGACAGGACGCAGAGGCACGGAGGCCATCCGAGGTGAACGTGGTCCCCGAATGCCTGCCCATGAGGCTCGATCTGACAGGCAAGACAGTGGAGGCCGGAGATGAGGGAGGACACGAAAGTGGGAACTACTATGTCTCATTTGGTTGGCTGTTAATCAAGCCAGGGCCCATTATATCTCAGCTTCACACGGAGCTGCTGAATAAATAAATACATTTTATTAACATCTTCTTTCTTTTTTTGCGTGTTTAATGAGTTGCTTGGCTGACTGTGCTGTGTGTGCAGTTAAATACCGTGTAAGCCCTTCAAGAGGTCCATAGGAAAATCTAAATAAGTTACTGGGCCCTTTATTTAAATTAAACATACAGTTTTATGAGCCTATTAGATTCCTCTGCCATTTACAGAACATGAGGAGATATATACAGAACCGACCAGCAGCACTCTGTAGTTGTTTTGTCGTGCATGCAGCATACATCGCCTCCTGCTCCGGTTATATAACCCGGCATAACATAGCATTAATATACGGAGCGAACGAGTGAAGCAGAACCGTCCTCTTGTTCCGTAATTAAGCTGAGAAAGTCCGTCCACTGAAGCCTCCATAAAAAGTATTAGAAGTAGTCGCAGCGAACCCTGTCACACATCACAGCACATGTTGCTGTTTCCATTCAGCATTTTGCCTGTAGACAAAGCTGGTACAGTTCTGTAACTGGGCCATGGTGCTGCTACAGCTGGGGGCGATGGGATTACCCATGGTAAAAATAAAAAAAAGGGGCTCATTAAGTCACTTACTGTAAAAAAAAATCCATAAGTGGCATATGTTTCGCTTCGAAATAAACCATGACCCACATGTTAATTATAGAATCTGTTATTACAGTTGATTGCCTGCTGCTTCATTAAAAAAAGGGAAAAAGGCAATTAGCCAAGTTGCTAGTTGTTGTGTTTTCAATGCATGGTCGCTACACCGTCTTGTTTATGTAATATCTGACTTTTTCACTCATGCATTTCATTCACATATGCCATCCATCCATCCATCCATCCATCCATCCATCCATCCATCCATTATCTATACACCGCTTAATCCTCACAAGGGTTGGGAGGGGCTGGAGTCTATCCCAGCTGACTCAAGGTGAAGGTAGGGGACACCCTGGGCAGGTCACCAGTCTATCACAGGGCTACATTTAGCCACAGACAACCAAGCACACTCACATTCACACCTACAGACAATTTACAATCACCATGTTATTGGACTGTGGGAGGAAGCCGGAGAACCCGGAGAGAACCCACGCAGAAAGATCCCGGGTGTCCTCACCGGGACATGAACCAGCGACCTTCTTGCTAACCACCGAGCCACCTTGCAGCCCCACATATGCCATTAAAACTAAAAAAATCCCGCCAAGAAGAAAAACAAAATCCAGACTAAGAGCAGCGCTCTTGCTGCTAGTATGAGCAGTCAGCAGATCACCAACGGTATTCCCAGTGAACCAATTCGTGTAGCAAATGGAGAGCTATATCAGCGGATAAGTGATGCTGGTGGTGCCGGAGATCACCCGAGTTAAATATGATTCACGGGGACAATGAATGAAATTCATGACAATCCATCTAATGGTTGTTGGATTGTTTCAGCCTGTAGCAAAGTGGTGGACCGACTTCCAGCCAGCACGGCTAAAAACCTTTTGTTTTGTGAATGGTGTGCCGCTTAAGTGGGCTTGGATTTAGACAAGGACGAGACTGATACCTTTGCTGTTTAGTCGCATGTTTTAATACAATAAATTTAACTCTGTGTGGTTTGTAGGTGTGTGTGTTACAGTCATCAGCTCCAGTAGTTTTATATGTGTCCTCTGGGTTTTACTTGGTGCTGCCTTACGATTGATGGTAGAAGCCTTATTAACAGAATTTTAGCATATACAGTATAAAATCTTGCTGGTCTCTTGCACAATTTACGAATGCAGAAGCCCCCTCGTTCGTCTTATTCTATTATTCATGTCAGCATGTGTGAGATTGTGGCGGTTTACCGATACGCTGTAGACAATAGATATAAGGGCAGAAGTCTTATGGTATCGCAAAATGATGCAACGCAAACAGGCAAAAAAACACATACTCGCACCAAACTGTCAATACGGGCTTTAATTAGAATTATTAATCAGCTACAGCGGATCAAGAAAAGAGAGTCACGCAGCTGTGTGATTGTTTTCTCAGTATTATTTCGAGTGTGACAACATAATTCATTTTCCATCCAAAGCCATCACTCGGCTGCTTCTATGAGCCGTCACCAGGTAACACACTGAAACTCATGTTAACCTGATTATACCAACGCATTCATCACAGAGCCTGACAAACCTTTGCAATATCCATTTAGCAGCAATAACAGCTAGCACCTCTAATGAGGTGTTACTGGTAAATTAATGAATTTTAGAGATGCTGCTCAGTGGAATTACCCACCTTCAGACGGAGTCACGCTAGCTGCTAGTGGGTCCCCTGTTTTCTGAGTGGAGCAGCCGTGTTTTTCTCCACACAAAAAACATTGACTTTTTAAAATGCAGGGCTCCTATTAGACCACCAGATACTACTAGTTAATCGTGCACTCTGATCCATCAGGGCAACTTTCCCCTCCACTGTCTCTGTGGTCGGTGCAGCTGAAGTCACATAAACCCCTGGTGTTGATCTCCTCAGTCGCTCTATATTGGTTAATTTTCCACGCTGGTGTGCCCTCGAATTGCAAAAAAGAGATTTTTGTGTTCACGTCATTAACGTCCACCCCTCTCTGTGTGTTTCTCTGCAGATGGGCGGCACCATGTACAACACGGGGAAGCACGTGTCCTTGCGGCCGGACAAAGCCCACCTGGTGAACATCTCGGGGGGCCCGCTGGGCTACAGCTACCGGCTGGAGGAGATCCGTCTCCACTTTGGGAGCGAAGACTCTCAAGGGTCAGAGCACCTCCTTAATGGACAGGGCTTTCCTGGAGAGGTAAGACAACACGAGAGCTGTATAGCTAACAGGGGGACAAATGATAATGATTGCACAATGATATCATCTCAGGTAAAGACACGTGCAAATATGCATACACACTCGAAACAGTAAAAGTCACACGCCCAAGAGCCGCACACTGAAAGAGTTATCTCTCTTTTAGAGGTAAACTTTTTCAGATGTGGCAGTTCTGTTCCCTTCAAGGTGGATTACAAGCTCATCCCTGAGCTTGTAATCCATCTTGAAGGGAATTCAAACCTAGTTGCCAAAATTGTAAAAGCTAATGTTTTCTGTTTCTGTGCAGTTCGAGGCTCCGTGGAGAGTCCCTGAGCTTTTCTGTCTAACCAGACAGTGATCACAATATTACATTTGTTTTGTAAATCCACTCTGTCCAGGGAGACATGCTGAGATTTTAAAAGGAAGCTGTAAACTTCCGAGTTCTCATTCTTGCTATGTAAATTGAGTTTGTGATTCTACTTCTGTCAGAGATGTTGTGGAGGGAGAAGCAATCTCACGGACTGAGTCATTGGGCCGAGCAAGAGAAGCACAACTTTTCCAGCTAAAGAGCTGTGACTGCAAGAGGACAAGCCTAAATTTATGAAGCACACTAACAGGGGACTCTAGAAAATGGGGCTAAACACCCTGGGTTAATTTTGGATTTGGGTGGCTGTAGCTCAAGAGGTACAGTGAGTAGTTCATGACAGTAATCACAGAATCGGTGGTTTGATTACTGGCTCCATCTGGCCACACGTCCTAATGGGCAGGCCGGAGCCTCGGTATGACTGCGAGTGCGAATGGGTGAATGAAAGTCAAAGCGCTGTGTAAGTGCAGTCCATTTACAGCTCCAGCATTCCTGTGATGAAAAATGTCTGAGGCCATGGCACTCTCGTACAAAATAGCGGGATGATGGATGTTGTTGCCCTGTGAAAATCCTGGCTTGAACGTGAACATGCATGAAATAAATGTTAAAAAAAAAAACATCCATTCTGAAACGACCTGAAACCACCAGTCCATAATGTGACCAGAAAGAGAACACCAACACCACAGCAGAGTGACCCAGTTAGGCCGAGCACAACCTGGACCTGGTCCGACTCAGGTCCCTGGTCAGATATTTCTCTCTCTCAGAACCCACGTGAAGACCTTGGAATCCGTCGTAGATGCTGCGATAAAGCAGGGGCTGTGCTAGACTTTCATGTCGGAGCGGGAGATGAGCCTGAAGGCGCAGCACTTGACTTGACTTCAGTCTGCGTTCCAGCCTTCACCTATGGTAATGAGTTATGGCGAGTGATCAAAAGAATGGCATCATGAATGCAGGCGGTCAAAATGAGTTTCCTTTATAGAATGGCTGGAGCTCAGACATCCAGAAGGCCCTCGGGGTAGAACCAGTCGAACATCACACATCGCATACAGTATGGCTTCTGGAAGCCGACCTTTAAAGTTTTTTTCCAGACGCATCCAATTGGGAGGAGACCCAGTGTTGACCCAGGACACTCCAGAAGGATTACGGATCTGGTCTGAGAAGGACTCACAGTTTCTCAGGAAGAGCAACGGGAACGATGACGAAGCAGAAGGTTATCTGAGGTGCCTTGTTCTTCTTTAAACAACCCAGAGTCAGATAAGTGACAGGAAGACGGGTGGAAAAAAAGGCCGGTTATGAAGTTGTTGTGAGAAAGTCATTGCAGACATGGAGCAGCATTTATTTGAAGCAGTTTTAGATGGGCACTTGAAAAATATAAATCCAACATTCTCTCCACTTTTAGCCCTGTTTTACTCCCCTCTCACATGAGAGTGGTGAACAAAAACAGTGAAGCTGTGGGATGTGGGACCAAAACAAAAAAGCTGAAAGATGCTAAGATGTCCCAGACAGATGGAAGGAACTGCAGTGAACATGTCTGGATCGGGTGGTAGAGCGAGTAGGGCAATGATCGGAAGGTCAGCGGTTCGAAGGTCATGGTCGCTGTGTCCTTGCCTGGTGGTCGGAGGGGCAGAATGGCAGCCACGCCTCTGTCAATCTACCCCAGGGCAGCTGTGGCTTCAATCATAGCTACCACCACAGGAATGAATGTGTGTGAATGAATAATTGACAGCGTAAAGCAACTTCGAGTGTCTAGAACAGCGCTTTATAAATCTGATTAATTATTATTATCAGTAGCAGCTTTCAGATTACACATTTAGTCCACTGTTGACATTAAAACATTGATGAGAGCACGTTTAATATAGTGCACGTGTTCCCCAATCCCATCCAGCCACTCCTCTCCTAAGAGGCCATTTTCTACTAGAACAACACTGCAGCAACATTATTCACTCTGTTTTTAAGGGTCCTTGTCAGAAATTGTTCTCAGTTGTTTCAGGTACCAAAAACAATTGAGGATAGTTTTGAACATATTATCGAGATAGTTAGAAAAGTCTGTAATTGCTGATGGAAGCTCACAGAAAGAATCTGCGAAGCCGTTTTCCACTGTGGCTAGACGTCTCCGATGAACTACAGTGCTGGTCACGATGCTGATTGGAAGTTAGATTTTTCTGCCTTCTCGATGTCTTTGTTGAGTAGCCGTCATGTTTCTCAAACATCATTATCCTCAATGTGAAATGCACCATATAGGCTAACATAACATTCATTTTCCTACATGTAGCTACTATTTGTCATTGTTTTGGCGCTCTTGGAGTTAATATTGCGTTCGAAGCTGGTATATTCGATGAAAACAGATCCCCTGAAAGCATTATGGGTCAGTTTCTGTAAACGTTTCACACAAGTTCTGTCCCATCTCATATGTTGCACTTAAACTGGCAAAAATTATACGGTGAAAAAGATGGAGCTTAAACTTTGACAAACAGCATACCGTTTTCACAACCCTGACCTTTTAGGAAACCAAGAGCACAAAACGCAGGAAGCTGCTGCACAAATGTCTTCTCAATAAACTGTGTGTTTGAGCTTTTCCACTAAGTCTTTATGAAGTAAAATGATCCTGAGAGCAAACTCCTGAAGTTGCAGTTTTTTTTTTTTTGCTGGGATTGCTCTGGTTTAACTCTCCATCACCGTGTCTCTCTTTCAGGTCCAGCTGATCCATTACAACCAGGATCTGTACACCAACTACACCGAGGCAGCTAAGAGTCCTCATGGCATCGCTGTGGTCTCCATCTTTATAAAGGTCTGCATCCCCTAAGAGCGCCGGAGACAAGTAAAGGAGCGATTAAAGCGCAAAATGCCAGATCAGAAAGGTTAAGGCGGCGTGTGGTGTAACATATATAATGTATCATCGTCGAGGGCAACCGATGGGATACCTCATGACATCCTGACAGGAATAAAATGAGAATTCATTTAAAAAACAAATGAAAAGAAATCAAGAATGTTTGTTTATATTCTGGGTTTTGGTCGTTAGTTCTTTGTTATAGGTCACAGGAAGTGTTTAATCAGACAGAAATATTATTTAGTCTGAGCCCAGCATAAGAAACAAATGCATCAGTAAAAAAAAGCTTATTTCATGTTTTAAGTCAACTCTGTTATTGTATAACATATAATGGATTTAAGGTAAAATCCTCTCTGTTGTGGATTATGGATTGTCATTATCTAAATGCAAGGGTGGCAGAACAGAGAACAAACTTGCTGCTTGTGTTTTACTGTAATGTGTGTGTGTGTGTGTGTGTGTGCGTGTGTGTGCGTGTGAGTGTGAGTGTGAGTGTGTGTGTGTGTGCGCCGTACAGTGAAATGTGATGAATATTTGATTCCTCCTCCCTCTTTGTCATCTTTCAGCTCTCTGAAAACTCCAACGCCTTCCTCAACCGCATGCTCAATAGAGACACCATCACCAGAATTAACTACAAACGTAAGACACACACACACACACACACACACACACACCCTCCAAGCTAATTCTGCTTTGAACATGTACAGGACTGTATTGGGTTGTTTCCAGTGAAAGACGCCGTTACATCTCCTGTGTAGGGCCGACCGCTCTGATCTGGATGGAGTGCTGTCCGCTCTGGTTAAAACACTGTTGTCAAGTCAGACAGACTCCTCGCTGGCTGCCGCAGCTCTCCATGTAAAGTGGCCAAATCTGCATTTCTGTGCTGAAGCTGCGATGGTTTGATAACTTGACTTTGCAAGAGGAAATGAAACATTGACTCGTGTCGATAATCTACCAAATGCTCTCTCATGCTTTTATTACAAACCACAAATCCAGTCCCAAATGTGTTTGTTTGTTTATTGTTAGGATGTTTTGATGTAATAAGTTTGTTAGACACCTTCAAACTGTACGGACACCCTCAAAACGTGGTTTTAAATGCTGTTTTTGTTGTATTTCTCCATTTATTTGCACTTATTATATCCCCGTTATTCCTGCAGCAGCATGATGAAGTCTCTAACTTCTGAATTCTGCTGCACAACAAGTTTATCAAACTACAAATGAAAGAATCGCTGCTTGTCTGCGTGTCTGTCTTCGATTTTGATCTACTTGGAACTTGGTTGAAGTCTCACCGGGGACATGATGGAAGTTCTGTGTTGAGTTTGAAGTAAAGGAGTGGGGGTCTGAGACCGAAGTGCGAACTCGCACGACTCTATAATGTTGTCGCAGATCAAAGACATCAGAGTTTAACCTCTGACTGACATCAGCATTAACTGCTGCTAACGTGCCCGTGACAGCTTGCGCTGCACTACTTCCTGATAATGGGAGATCCCGTCTACTGCCTTGTTCTACATCCTGTTACAAGACAACAGTCTCACGCAGGCGGTATCCGGTGTCTTCCTTCAGAAAGAATTCATTCCTAATTGCAGACAAATCAGTGCTACATTGCCAAAATCTGTTTTCTAGCCTCTGCTGTAAAGATGTATGTCCCCCTGGAGAATTCCCTGACTGTTAATGGGGCTAAAGATAGCCGAGCTACTCAACCACACACACACACAGACAGGAAGTTGTTTGTGTCACTTAGGAGGGCATCGCTCAGACCTACATTATATAAATACTCTGCAGACACACAGGTTCGCCAACTTAACCAAGTTTTAACTTTAAAACGAAACAGTTTAGCCTCCTGGGAAGTTAATCTTCAACTTCTTTTTATGAATCTGTGTGGACCCGATCCACATTTATCCACATGAAGCCCAAACTCTGACATGACTACGCCACGAGGGCAGTAGTGCACATGCTTGGCAGGTTGACCTACTGTGCATGTGTGCAATAGAGTCTTCGAAGCGGCTTCCACTAGACCAGCGGTATTATAACAACAACTACTCGGCTGTTTATGTGGGTGTCGGCACCGGAGTGTAATCAAGTCTCACAACCTTAACTGTAAAATCAAACCATTGCTCTTAAAAGTTGCGAGGAGCCGCCTAAAGTTCATCCCAAACCGTGAAATGTCCTCAAAACAGTGGTTCTGAGTGAACGTTGCTCCTCGCAAAGACGGGAAAACACACCCGCCCACACACGCTGCTCCTTTGTGTCGGGACATTAATTTACATAATGCATTCCGCGGCCCTTCATCGTAACCTTAACGGTCACGACTAAGTGACTAACTGCATTCCTAACTCTGACCTGAACCTAAATCTGCTTTAAAATAGCTTTCGACGCAACGTGCCCATCTCTCCAGCTGCAGCTTCCCTGCCGATCTCCGACTCTGTAAAACCGGTCGACGCTATATTGGAGTAATACAGCCACACGTGTTGAACCAGAAGCTTGTGGAATAATAATAATGATTTGACGGGATCAGTTTGTTGTGTACGAAACTCTTGACTGTCTGAACCCGTGTTGTTGAGACCGTCTTTGGTTGGAAACACTCAGTCATGCCATTGATTTAATTCACTCATGATGTGTCTTCTTGCAAAAACAGATAGTATGTTAACAAGGTAAAAAACTAGTCTTCATGTTTAACTAATTTGCTTCATGAGGACTTGTTTTTTTTTGCAGGTCTCACAATGTGACTGTGTGAACAGATTTATGTCTTTACAACATGAATAATACAAGCACACACACACACACACACACACACAAACACAGCATTCATCTCTCCTCGTTTCTGCTTTGACAGTGTGTTCCTGCTAATGGGTCTGAACATAGCAGACTTTCACAACACGCTGCGTCACCTGAACACCCTCTCCCCCTCTCTCTCTCTTTCTTATTTGTCCTTCCCTCTCTCTCTTTAGATGATGCGTTCCTATTGATGGGCCTGAACATAGCCGACCTGTACCCCGACACCACCCGTTACATCACCTACGAGGGCTCCATCACCATCCCTCCTTGCTACGAGACGTCCACGTGGATACTTATCAACAAGCCAGTCTATGTGACACAAATGCAGGTACCGGAGTGCCGGATAAGTAAATACGATGGCGGGGGGAAAAAACGACACGCGCCGTTGATCGTGGCAGAAGCGAAATTTCTAATTTTCTTGCCGGCATGGGGCACAAACATCTCTGAATTGCAAATTGCGTCTTCATAACCTGCGACTGAAAGAGTCTATTTTTTTCCCTAAGCGGTTTAGATAAAAGAGGCTGTGTTGTAACAGTAATGTAATGCAATGAAGTACATAGACGCAGAGTACTCAAAATCCATCCAAATGTTAAAGGGCACCTGATTTTTATTCCCCCTCCTCACAAGCAGTAAAGAAAAACCCCCTCCCCCCCTTCCATCTGCATGTGTGTCCATGAATGAAGCCGAACTCGTATCTACATGCAGATGCAGTGACACACATAGAAATGTATTTCTCATGTTGCAACGTGACTGGGACACGAGATGAAAGCCTTTTCATGTCGCTGAAGAGCGGCTATATAGATCAGACTCAACCTGCGCTCTTCAGACCAGGAAGCTCGGGGACAGAAGTGTTGCACATTACAATCCAGTGCAGGTGATTGCTATGCTGGATTATAATCAACTCCCACACACCATCTGCCATTAACTCTCAGTGCATTTACTCCTGCTCCCACCGCTGTGTCCTTTGTTCTCACATACCTGTCATCCTCTTTTTAATCTCTTTGTCCTGGTTTTGGGTTTTGTTTCAAACTTTAATGTTTTTTTTTTTGTTTTTTTTAAAAATAATTTCACATCACGTATCCGGTTTTGAACTACTTCTTTTGATATATATTTTTTGCTTCATTTATGTCTAATTATCCAATCAACCCCTTCAGTCGTGACTCGATAATCCGACACTAAATGTAAAACTTTCTTTTATGTCGGATAGCAAGGCTGTCGGATTGTCAAGACGGAGGTCGAGATACAAGGAGGGCTTGATGCCTGAAGGGTCATTTGTTGTTAATATTTATTGTTCATAGTTGTTATAATAACTAGTACAAAAATCCGAATTAAGCATTAAGTCCTGCAGTCTGAACGTAGCCAATCTGTGGGATTGTTCAGTCAGATAATACGCCGTTATCCTTATTTGTGACATAAAATGTCATGTCGGAGTCGGAATCCAAGGCTGTCGGTATGTTAAGGCTGTTTTTAATGGGTTCCGTTCGTTTTTCCTAAAAACCTGTCGGATAGCAAGGTTTAGGATTGTTAAGGGTCAGACTATCGAGTCACGACTGTATATCCCATAAACTCTCACCATACATTTGCTGGATTATCTTTGTGCTCCTTGTGTTTTATTTTCTTTTCCTCTGCATTACCTTTTGCCCGTTTCCTAGATTTCTGCCTAGCCCTTGTTCCTCATGAGTCTTAGTATGACTTACCAGATATTTCACCTCCAATCTGCTATCGGCTGTTTTTAAAATCCCCTTCAAGACAGGAAACAACAACATTAACCTCTGAATAGCAACCTACAAGCTGAAATGGCGAATTTTGATTAAGACATTAATCGTGCAATAAGGCAGGCCTGCTTGTTTTTTCCATACATTTTTGTAAAAATCTGCAAAGACTATGTTGACAACATTTGTTGTCTAAAAAGGGGGTTTGGTGTGTTTGCTAAGAAGTTACAGAAAAAGTTAGATTTTCCAAGTATGTTGCACAAAAACGAAGTTCCCCATGACAATATGCTGCTGGGGCACCACCACTACATCCTGGGCTTCATGCCGCCAATGAAATAGAATAGAAGAAGAATGCCTTTATTGTCACTATACACATGTGCAATGAGATTGAGAGCAGCTCCTTCAGTGCCATATAGAATAAAGTACAAAATAAAGAGCAAAAAAATGAAAAATAGAAGAGATTTAAGTATAAAATAAGATAAGTTATATATACAGTCTACAGTATAAGTTATAAATACAACATATTTCTATCGCAGAATGATAATGAGGTGCAGTCCGACCATTCTTCAGTGCTATAGCAGGACTGTGAAGATAGGTCTGGCTTTGTGTCATACCTTCCCAGTCCACGAGCCTGATATAAATTTCATCTGTGGTTTAACTACAACTACACATCCGTGGGTTCCTCAGCTGTCTTTCCACGCATCTGCAAAGACTATAATCAAGGCCTTAGTAAGTCTTTCCCATATTGTTAGACTTTTTCCTCTTCTTCCTTTTTGCCCTTTTGGCTGCTCCACGTCTACACTGCTGCTCCGCTCACTGTCTCCATGACCTAAAGCCTGGTATTAAATTTTTAGATTCAGACTTTTACCTGTCTCTTTGATTCCCTTTACTTTCTCTTTTCTCTCTCTCTTCGACTCTCTTGTAATTTCATTCCATGTCACAGTTTTCTCTCCTTTCTTCAACATTCTGGGTCTTTTCCACCGTCTGCGTCCTCTCCTCTCCTTCCTCCTTCGGTAATATGTGCTTTCATTTGTGAACACTTTGATCACTGGAGCCGACACTCTCTCATAATTGTTTTAAAAATCACCTGTATTAGATATCAGTAGTCATTTGCTAAAAGAAAGGAGGTGAGCAACATTTGCATTTCAGTCAAACCACATGTTTCTGGCTGTGCTCGTTCCACTCAGTTACATCACAGTTTACATTTTTGCATATTTTTGCACTTTGTTTCAGTGACATGAGCGTCTACAGTGACTTTATCTGAGAAGCTCGCCAAGGATTCCTCCTCCAGTGTCTCTAAGATCTTTTTGTGTAGCAGCTGTGTGCCTCTCAGCAAGTTAAATACAACACATAAAGCAGTGATTCCTAACTATCTCACTGAAACCACTTCTTTACTTACAGCTATTTGCTAGAACATACACAACAGGTACTGTACGGGTATTTAAGTCATACCAGTTTGCTGATTAGAAGGGGACAGTCAGTGAGTTAATCCTGGGCCACGGAGAAAAAAACATCTTGTTCAATGGATTAAAGCTGCCTGTGCCGTTACCACTGAATCTTGTTACACATATGGCGAACAAACGCTGTTTAATCGAGTAAAATGTGAGCTCAGCTATGTGGACTCATGTCTCAGGACCAGGTTTGTGTCCCTGTTAGTTTGTAGCTCTGATTTTAAAAGATCCATCCACTATCTATACACCACTTAATCCTCACTAGGGTCATGGGGGGCTGGAGTCTATCCCAGCTGACTCAGGGTGAAGGCAGGAGACACCCTGGACAGGTCACCAGTCTATCACAGGGCTACACTTAGAGACAGACAACCAAGCACACTCAAGATTTTAAAAGAAATTAATTTTAAAAAACCCAACTATTTCAGTTGTTCCAGCAATTTCCTGCAGTTATAAAAACATATAAAATCAAGCAAATGTTTCAACTCAGCACAAGCACCTCCAAACAATTGTAAAGAATGACATCTATTAGTCAATAAATTTTGTAGGTATTCAAAAATATATCAAATTTATTGAAAAGGAAGCTTGCAAAGAATGCTGCTAAGCTAAAGACACTGTAAAAATAAAATATAAACGCAACATGCAAATGGTCTTCTTTTCAGTTTGAGGGAAAAAGTACCAAAAAAAACTAACAAAAAAAAACAACTTCATTGTTATGATAAGGGACTGCAAGGTGGCTCGGTGGTTAGCATTGTTGCCTCGCAGCAAGAAGATCGCTGCTTCAAGTCCCGGTGAGGACACCCGAGATCTTTCTGCGTGGAGTTTGCATGTTCTCCCCGTGCAGCGTGAGTTCTCTCCGGGTTCTCCATCTTCCTCCCACAGTCCAAAAACATGTTGAGGTTAATTGGTGATTCTAAATTGTCTGTAGGTGTGAATGTGAGTGTGCTTGGTTGTCTGTCTCTAAGTGTAGCCCTGTGATAGACTGGTGACCTGTCCAGTCAGCTGGGATCGACTCCAGCGACCCTAGTGAGGATTAATAGATAAAGGATGGATGTTACGATTAGAAAACGGTTGAATTTAGAAAACTGTGAAGCAAAAGTTTATGAGCTGTTTGACCGGTGGCAAATTCACAACCACTGAGGGAACCCTCAGCCTTTGATCAGTGAGTCTAAAAGGCCAAATTTAAATGCAGCTTGGCTCAAACGACTCGAGGGCTGTAGCCAGTCACTTGAATGATTGGACAGACAATCCGCCACATCCGGCTGTGGAAGGACATGCGTACGGATTGTCCCCCAAAAATGTCCACAAACCTCATTACCTCTATAGGCTGCAAATGTGTGACTCATTACTGACATGTGATTTCTGGTCTATGAACCCAGTCTGCCTTCTATATTTTCATAAATAGCCCCGACTTGGTTGCTTCTAGACGTCCATTCTGCTATAGGGATGTCATGCATTGAAACAACAAATATTTATTCCCCTGCGTTGAACAGAACGGATAGAATTTAATCAAACATTACATGCTGTGTTTATATTTCTCTTCAGTAAGTTACAAAGTTGTTTCGTCGTTTGGTTAATATGAATAGAATACGAGCTGAATCATAAACCCTGTGAGATGTGTGAACAATTGGCTACGTAAAACCAACATCAAATCAGCGGCAGAAACACTTGTAGAAATAACATATTTGTTTATTTAATCTGTTGTACGTGTGCGGTATGGATGTGTCTTGCTGTGTAAATAACATGCTGCAAGTAATCATGAAAGCGAAGCCCCCACACAGGCTGTACAGTCTCTGGCCGAAATAACTGACAAGGCTGAAAATGTCTTGAATTTCCACAGGTGATGCCTACAGCTGGATTCTGATCTACTCACAAAGAGCTGGGAGTAAAAAAAAAACAAAAATACATTTTACATTTCACTGGCGGTTGTATTAAAACAAGATTTTTGACCCAGAGCAGGACACCCTGAAGTACTTTTCGTCACTGGTATTAATGAAGCGGAGACAACCCAGGTCATATTTGAGCTATACCCTTGAATTAAAGGCTAAAATATTCTGTGCATATTTCAGGCTTTTACTTATTTATGCATTGAACTACCGAGTAGATGCTGCTTTGCGTCTTTTTTGTTTCGCGCCCTAAAAAAGTATGAAGGGGGGGAAAAAAAAAAAAACATCTTGTTGGGATGGTGTGAGTCTCGTAATCCTGAAATATTCAGTGTAGCAACAATAGCACAACTGCCTCACAGCCCAGTTAGACGAGCTTCTCCTTTCCAACCTCAAAAAAGACCGACACTATCATTTGCACTTCTTCTGAGATTCAAACACACCGACCGGCGTTTATGAAGACGGGTGCAGATTAAGCAAAGACTCGCTGGTTTCCCCTCGAATTAACTCAACAGAGCCGTTTTCCCCCCACAGATGCACTCCCTGCGCCTCCTCAGCCAGAACGAGCCCTACAAGATCTTCCTGAGCATGAGCGACAACACGCGGCCCGCCCAGCCGCTGCTGCAGCGCTGCATCCGCACCAACATCAACTTCAGCAAGCAGGGCCGCGACTGCCCCAACAACCGCGCCCTCCGCCCACAGTACAGAGGTAAGACGGAGGCGAGAGAGAGAGAGAGAGAGAGCCGCCGTGTTGTTTCTGCATTAATAAATAAAATCAATCATAAAATATTCAGTTCTGCCAGAAACTGATGCCAAGTATGATTTTACTTTTCTTTTCACACTTTCAATCCTTTTAAAGCTAATTAGGGCAGCTTTTACTCGCCCGTGCCAAGACTGGAGATATTTTTAAGTCGGTTTTGCCAAAACTGTCAGGCTCATGGGCCCCACTTAACATCACTAATAAAATTCCAGGAAACTTTCAGTTCAAACCCAGTGAATCACTGCTAAGGAACAGTCAGTGCCGCGATGTTTTACAATCGATATTAGGCCCATTTACATTTTAAAAGAAGTTGCACTGAGACGCCGCACTTCAAACACACTTTTGACTTCAAACAGCGCTGCTTTTAAAAAATGCAAACAGCTGTGTCGGTTGGGTTTGGGTACGCTGCTTGAGGTAAAACTGAGACAATAATCACAATGAATCACTTGGACACAGATCACAAACGGTGGCAGTGTTACAATGATTCACATTGCAGCATTTCACAAATGATTGCCGTGTGTGCATTGCAGATAAATTTGTAAGTCCAATAGGCCTCTGGGAGGCTCATGCATGGGAGTGTGTCATTCGTTTTGATTGATGAAACATTGAAAATGAGCGCAAAGGGAAATGATCTCATGCTTCGGTGGCGACTTGTATGTCGCAAATTTGGTGAAAATATCTGCACAGCATGTTAGAACGGGTTTTTACAATTCTGGAACGTCGGAGCCCACATTTTCAGACAGTGTTTCCTGGAAGATATTCATAATGTCGCAGTCGGCTGTTCGCTCGAAATGTGACCTGACATGGTTGTGTAACACATTAAAAAAAGAAAGCTAAGACACCCAGGATTAGACTGCGTCAGGAAAAATTAAATGCCGGTTCACATTTGCCAGTTTCGCGAAATAGCTGCATTAGTTTGAGTAATTGGGGGGGAGAGACGGGAGCCGCTGCTACAGAATTGCGAGGTTGTAGGGAGTCCTACCGATTATGGTTTTAACAGGGACGTATTTATGTGCCCTTAAGATTTTTTCAAGGGACATAAATGGACTGTTATTGCTTATTATAACGGCCTCTTTAGCTCAGTGAACGTATGTAATTAGGGTAACGCATTTCATCATGAATATGGCTTTTTAACTAATACGTATGGGTTTTGGCTCAGGATGATCAGTCCTTAGTCATTAGGACCGTACTCACAAGGCTCTGCTACACAACAGGGTAAATAATAAAGAGACTTTACCTTACAGAGGCGGCGTTGACAGGACTGCCCTTTGACACAACAGCGTAATGACTTTGGCCCGTACAAAGCCTGCTTTTTAAGGGGTATTCATGGACTGTCATTCCTTATTATACCTGCCTCTCTGGCTGAATGTATAATTATTTACTCGTGACTGCGGCTTGTACCTATAGAGTTTGGCTCTCACAAAGCCTAACTAACACAAAGTTAGTCTGAAGGTGTAGCTCCACTACGTGTTTGCTTCAGTGAACTTCACTCCTCTCAGATTTGAATTTTCGCCAACTTCTCGCCAAACCTAAAAAAGTGAATCTGTTCATCGTCAGTGGGAGCAGTCTGTAACGTCAAAAAACGTAATCGAAAGTCATATTCTATTACCGTAAATTCCAGACTATAAGCCGCTACTTTTTTCACACTGAGGCTTAAACAATGATGCGGCTAATTTATGGATTTTTACGAATTTGCCTCGAGACAAAAGTGACATTGAGAGCGACAACGAAACAGAGACTGAGGAAGTGTGTGATGAAGTAATTCTGAGGCTGTTCAACTCCGACACTGAAGACTTTAGTGGTTTTAGTGCAGGAGGAAGATGAAAATAGCGATTAATGGCTTTTCCTGGTAGGCTGCTGTGTTTTTTGTTTTTTGAACCAGCCGCATTACAGGCACTGTTCGGAAAAAGGCATTTACGTATTTGTGTATGTTACCGGTAGGGCTGGTCCGAATAGCAATTTCTGTTCTCCGGATATTCGGCCCCAATTAATGACGAATATCCTGAATATTTGGGGGTACCTCATGGTGGCGGCGGGGGGGGGACGTTCGCAAATAAAAATTGATATCCCAATTCCAGCACAGCGAACGATTAGTCGGCTATTCAGCTAGTCAGATCCAGCCCTAGTTACCGGTACGTATTTAATAAAAGTTAACAACATCTGTCTGTGTAAATATCTCATGTTACCACGTGGACACCTGCGGATTTAGCATTTAGATTTAGATTTAGCATTTAGATTTAGATTTAACATTTAGATTCACCATTTAATTTCCACCTCAAATGTGAAGAAAATGAGCTAAACGTGAGAAAAGTGAGGTAAATATTCAAAATATATCAGCTAGAAAAGTGTGACTGAATTTTTACATTGGGCACCCCATAAGTGGGTGTGGCTTATATTCAGGTGCGCTCAATAGTCCGGTAGTTCTCTGGCCAGTTGGTAAAACTTCAATCTTGGCTTTAACACCCCAATACTGTCCCGTCTCACCTCCAAAGCTGACCAGTCAGTTACAGCTACATTCGAATACCCACAGGGAGGTAAAACCGTCTGACTGCTCAGAGTAAATAATGTTGATTCACCTCAGAGGAGCAGCACATGTCAAGGTGTAGGACGTTTTATATGGCGAGTGAACAGTTTGTTCTCACAGTCAGCGTGTTGGATGTGGGATATATGGGCAGGCGTAAAGACCTGAGGGACTTCTTACGGGTTACTGAGTGTTGTGAAAAGCGGCAACACATAAAATTTATTATCATTATTTTTACCATTATACAACCAGGTCAAGCATTTCCAGAATGGCAACGCGAGCAGGAATAAACCATGAACTGCTGACAGGGTGTTGGGAGATAATAAGTCTGATCTGCGGCAGCTTACAGGACTCGAAGGATCTGCGGCGAACGTCTTTGTTCCAAATACCGGAGGACGCTTTCAGAGACCTTCGGAGTTCACACCTCAGTGGGTCGGAGCTGCTTCGGTGGCAGGTGTGGTCGTAATGTTTCGGGTCGTCGGTATCAAGCTTAAAAACTCAAAGCGAAGAAAGACACATCTGTCATCCGTAGTTTGTCAAGGAAAACAGTTTATTCTGTTGCCTCCGAAAATGATTCCTCTTCTCTGAGTTATTATTTTAAAAACTACACTTGACAGTAGTGAATTGAAAATGAAGCTACTGTGAAAACAGCAACGGTGTATTTCAATGTTATAAAAGCTTAAAACACTGCAGTGAGGAAATGCAGGAAGTGGCTTGTTGTTCTTGCCGTTGTTGCTTTTTTCACAGGAGGGCATGCATTAATTAAAGTTGTGGAAATAGTCTCATTAAGTGTGATAATTAGCTACATGATAAATTAATTTTAGAACAAACTATGACAGCGTTTTGTACTGTTACAATATAGGTGAGACGGGAGTATCCGTGCATTTTGCAGTTTCATTGTCTCTGCCTTACATGAGATTAAAGCACACAGCAGTGGCTTCTATCTGTATAATATACAACGCTGGGTTTGGACTCTTAGCTGCAGCAGGGAGAGAAATTAAAGGAAAAGTCAGCAATTCTAATCCAATGTCCTTTTTGTTGAGTATCTGTGAATTTCTCCTCATGGTCCAGTAGCTGTCCGTTCTGTCATACACAGCTCTGAGTATTTAAGTACAGTCATGACTTGATAATCCCACGCTTAGCAATCCTAAACCTTGCTATCCGACAGGTTCTTAGGAAAAACGAACGGAACCCATTAAAAACAGCCTTAACATACCAACAGCCTTGGATTCTGACTTTGACATGACATTTTATGTCACCAATCAGGATAACGGCGTATTATCTGACTGAACAATCCCACAGATTGGCTACGTTCACACTGCAGGACTTAATGCTTAATTTGGATATTTTTGGGAAATCCGATTTTTTGAGAGTTTGTTCACATTTCCAGTTAAATGCGACTTGTATGTGATCTGCTGTGTGAACTTCATACGACCCAAAAGCGTCCCGCATGTGCAGAAGAGGACACGACGACGTCACATGCAGCGAGTGTGCTCAGTGTTTGCGGAAGTAAACATGGATGGTAACGGTGGAGCGTATCTGCCACTCCTCCGCCACCGCCGATGGTGGAAACAGAACTGTGACCACTAACTAAACTGGCATCAGTAGCCAAGTTCTGCCTGTGTGTTCCAGCCACTTCCACCCCGTCAGAGCGCTCCCCCGGGGTGGAAGTGATCCCCCCGACCACACCAACTACTCTGATACTCATCATAAATTGGGCCTGAATATCCAGAGACCAGAAAGTGCTTTTCTAACCAGCCCTACTAGTTATTATAACAACTATAAACAATAAATATTAACAACAAATGAGCCTTCAAGCATCAAGCCCTCCTTGTATCTCGACCTCCATCTTGACAATCCAACAGCCTTGCTATAAAAGAAGGTTTTACATTTAGTGTCAGATTATCGAGTCACGACTGTATTTGATAAAAGCTGTCAGGATCGACCTGCTTTGCTACATGGTCAAGTGTGTGGACCAGTTCTCCTGTCTGGGTTCAGTTTCAGCCTCTGCTGCCTGTCACCCCACTCTCTCTTCTCACTTTCTTGCCTCTGTTCCTATTCAATGAAGACAAAAAAAAAAGCCCACCCCCCCAAAAAAGTTGCCACAGCATGACTCTCTGTCAGCACTATGCTGAGAATGTGAAAACAGAGAATGGAACAGATATGAAATATATATATATATATGGAAAAAATATCTGTAAAATATATATTTATACACACCTATACTGTGCGTGGGGGTGTATTATGTGTACAAATGCAAAAACCGGAAGGAAGCATGTAGGTGAGGCGTTTGGTGCTGAAAAGAAAGCAGGAACATCACACACACACACACGCACACACACAGAACAAACGCGGAAGTATTACGTAGAATGTGTAGGAGTCCTTGTATCCTTCAGGAATAAATACACTCGACACCCTCTTCTGTGCG